ATTACTGGAATGAGACGGAACAAAACAGAAAACAGGAACAAAATGCTAGAAATTGCAGATGAAAATTTCAGTGTTTGAACTGCTGGAAATTGAGTGAACTATATAGACCGAATCTAACCATTAGTTTTTTGCATTAACCATTGCAGTTTTTGGAGTTACACTCCGGTTTCGACCATTGAAGTTTTAGGAGTTTCAGACACTCAAAAGTCATTCGAAAAAATCACAAAAAATTGCAAAACGTGGACAGTCCAAACTGGCCAGTTTTTGCTCCGTTCGGTCCGATATTCGTATGCGCAGGTCGCGCCCGCACTTAAGTTCAAGGTTCGAAGGCTATTTCTGTCCGTGATTTGCACCCCCTTGCGCTCGCACGTAGAGAGAGCCTCTATGCTACACATGATCACATCATTCCAATGCATAGCCATATATAAAGTGGTTTTGGTTTCCATATTTTTCCTATGTGGGACAAAGTTTTCCCACCAACATAGACCATTTTCAATGGTCTACTTTAGACTCCAATTTTTCATTCATTCGAGCTTCATTTTTGGCAGATAAATATATGACTTCGATGTGCTCGCGGAGGAGAACACATGTTAACTTTGATATTCCACATTGGACCAACGGGTCTCACCGAAAATTGTGCCAAAAGTGAGTCAACTCACTCATTTTTCTAACAATAAACACAATTTAGACGAAAATATTGACTCTTGTAGGTAAATATATTAATTATCCAAGAAGAATGGAGAAAAGAACCAAAAGAAGTAGAATCGAGCACATCAAAATATGATAAAAGGCTCAAACACATGATTATTGTCATCAAACAATATATGCCCCATTTAGAATAAATATGGCGCTTAAAGGGACTCACAACAAATGGTTTGTAGGATTGAATCAAGTCTTGAAAAAGAAAAATATTTAAGCACTAGTGTTTTACTTCCAAAATTTAATGAACACAAATGGATTTTGAATATACTTCGAGAATTTGAAAAAAACTCTTGATTGTATAGAATGAGTTCAAGTATCAAGTATTAATTTTGTTTAAAAATGAAAGTTCATCTCCTATATATAGATTTTTATTCATAAACTACGAAATGGTACTAACCATTCATGAAAAGTTGGAATTTTTCATCCAAAAGACACCAGAATTTAAACTTGAAATCGTCCTTAACGATTACTTTTTATCCCCTTGTGTATGCATGATAATACGCCATGCATGAACATAGTAGAAGCATTTTTGCCAAACAAAAGCCAGGAGTATGCATGGAAAATTATCCCCATACAATTTTCTGTTCACGACCTTTCATCAATTCATTCAAGTGGAAATTACATTACACTCTACTTTTAAAGATCAATATTCTAAAAATAGGGTGAATGTTTCATTATTCAAAAATAGATATTTCATATTTATTCAAAAATAGATATTTCATATTTAAATATTAAATATTTTTTTTTATACAAATTCCATCTCAAATCCTAAAAATCTACCTACCCCATCTCTTACTATTCCGCCTTCTACATTCTCTCTTTCTCTCTCTCCCCTCTCACTCCACACACGAACCATCGTCGAAGCTAACACAGACGATGACCACCTCCAAGCCCTGCTGCATAGCATGGACTACCATTGTGTGCTATTGTAATCTCTTGTCCTTTTCTTCACCACGCCCATCTCTTTCTTTACATCTCTTTTCACCACTCCATCTTTCGTCGCACGTCATCGCCTTGCTATCTCTTTAACCACATCAGTGGTTTTGTAGCAATATCGTTGGATTTGGGTTTGGCGGCGGAGGTGACTAGATCGGTCTTATTTGTGGTATTGGTGTTGAATTTAGGTTTGAAGATGGTTTTGGTGTCGGATTTGGCAAAGAAGGAGATGAAATTGGCACAACCTTAGTTGGTGGTGTTAGCTCCGGTCGTGGAGGCAATCATTCAATTTTGGTTTGTTGGGTTGTGTCTGTGTTGGTGGTGGTTCATCTGTGTTGTGTTGTTGGGCAGCGTTGTTGGTGGTAGTATGGTGATTGTGCAGGCAGTGGTTTCCTTGGTGGTTGGGGGCGCGATTGGTGTGCATGCGGTCTGGCATTTGGATGGAGGTATTGGTTCTTGACTTTCACCATTAAATTGGTTAATCTGTATTCAATAAACAATATGTGACTAATGAAAAGGAAAAATTATGACAAAAAATAATGTGCGACCTAAAAAATTGTTAATTTATGACCGATAATTTAATAATTTGTGATTGTATAATAAGTTGTAACTTATAATATTTGTAATTTATGATTACTAAATGTACTTATAAATTTTTTATTTGTGACCGATGTACAAATTGTGACCTATAAATTTTTTGAATTGTAGCTGTAAAGTAATTTGTGACATATAATAATTTTGATTTGTGACCTAAAAATAATATGTGACTAACTAAATCGTTAATTTATGATCAAATTGTATAAATCCGTAATCTTAATATATTTGACTAATATAATATATAATTAATTAATTAAATCATAATTAAATTTTAATAAATATCTTATTTTTTTTGAAACATTTGTTATTAATTTTGAAATGAGTGATTAATTATGAATTTTTTCCCTTCATTCAATATGATGCCCATTAAGAAGCCCAGTACGCATGGATAAAATAATTGGGAAAAATTCATAAGTAAGAGTCTAAATATCACACATTTCAAAATCAAGGAGACAAGTTTCAAACTTCAAAAATAAAATTTTTATTAAAATTTATTTATAATTTTATTAATTAATTAAATAGATTAAGGTCATAGATCTATATTTGGTCACAAATTAACGATTTAGTTAGTCACATATTATTTTTGGGTCACAAATCAAAATTCTTATAATGTCACAAATTATTTTACTATCACAATTCAAAAATTTTATAGGTCATAATTTGTTCATTAGTCACAAATAAAAAATTTATAAGTTAGTCACAAATCACAAATATAATAAATCAAAAATTATTATATAGTCACAAATTAATAATTTTTTAGGTCACACATTATTTTTTAGTCACAATTTATCGTTTTCATTGATTACATATTATTTATTGATTACAGATTAACCAATTTAATGATTACAGTTAACCAAATCATTTGTGAACACCACCAATACTTGTGACCATCACCTCACCATTGTCACCGATCGCGTCGCTACCAAAACCACCACCGCCCACACCATCCCACCCTATCCCAGCACACAAGTGCAACCATCACCATCACCGCCACGACCATCGTAACCAACATACCTTCACCACCACAGCCATAACTAAATCTAGCATATCCCCGCCAACAAAGCCATCGTCACACAAACACCACAATCACGAGTACTACCACTAGCACCACCTGTAACCACCGTACCAAACCATCACCGCCGCCACCATCCAAACTTCACTTAAACCATTGTGACCCCCCAAAACCACCATCTATACCATCTCTACCACCGCCTAAACTCCACTTAAACCATTGTAACTCCCAAAACCACCACCTATACTAAGGATATCAACGAATCGAGCCAAGCCAGCTTGTGACCCAAAATTCTAGGCTCGGGTAAAATGTCCGAGCTTTTTTTCGAGCTCGAGCCAAGCCGAACAAAAGCTCGACAAAAAAATTAGGCTAGACCCGAGCTTTCGGATCAAGCCTTTTTGAGCCAAGTCAGACCGGCTCGAGTTTTGTTTGGTTTTGATTTTGGTTTTTTTTAATAATTAAAAAGGCAGCAGGTTGCTACCTATTTTGTAGCAGTACGCTGCCTTAAAGCGTGTCGCTGCCTTTATTTTTTAATTATATGCTCGGTTCTCCCAAGCCGGCAAGCCACATTGGCCAACTAGGGCTTTGCCCTGCATCTAAAAATGGGGTTCGGCCTGAGTAATGTAATGTAATGAAATTTAAAAAAGAATCTGGGACAGAGGAAGGAGGAGGAACACGTGGCAGACCCATAGCATCGCGCAACTACAAACAGAAGATCGTGCAACGATCTCGCTTGCGACGATTTTCGATAATGGCTCCCAATGATAATAAGTTCGCATCAGCCTCAGTGTTGCCGTTCGAGGCAGCTGTGAATGGTGGCATCGCAGTGCCGCTCGAGGAGGTCCTCCTCCGACGCCTTCTTGTCTTTTGGTGGGATTGGGGAGAAATTATTGATAGAGAATGAAAGGAGAGAAGGAGAAGGAAGACGGTAGAGAGAGAGAAAAAAGGGTGATAATTAGAGTTAGAAAATCAAATGTTGAATATGTAGATTTAATTTAATTTAATTAGGGATAGAGTTATTAATGTTTATTTAAATTATTAATATATTAAAAAAATTCTGATTTTGGAATAGTTAAATTTCCGACCTAATTTTTAGAATGTTAAATTTTTAAAGTTAGGTGTGGTGTAATTTTCACAAAACAGTTTTCCGCTGCTTTTCATCAATTAATTCAATATGAAGCCCACTAAGAGGCCCAATTATAATGCAATGATTTTGAGCAAATACTACAATGCTTTTATAACCTAATATTTGAAGCTTGTGAAACTCTTTCAACACTGCCAATTGTAGCTTCTGGTTTGGTTGTTAGTTTTCATCCTCCTCCTCCTCCTGCTTCTTTTTTTTTTTTTTTTTTCACAAAGATGGTAAATAGTTTTGGGCCGTAGTCCACTGGGACTTGGAAGGGCAATGCCCATAAAGTACAGAGAGTAAAGTCAGTAAGTCTTCAGTAGATCAGTTATTTCTCAAGGTTTGCTGTGGTTATTTAAGCTCCATGTTTGACGATCTTCATTTCAAAATTCATTTTTTTAATAAAATATTTTGCGCATATATTTAAAAGAATTTCTTACTTTTTAACTACTTATTCTTTTAAAATTTAATATTCAAAACATTGTTCCGACCAAGTAATAACCATCAAACAGGAGCTTAGTAAAATACATTTGGGCTCAGAGCATCTGGTTTGCATACAGTATGGGGTTCTGGCTTACTGAAAATGAACAGTACCAATAACAGTATGGTAGCTACCTTGATGAGGGTTCCACTTGATCCAAACTTCGAACTCGTTTCGTAGGTAATTTCGATATCTCTATCCTTTGACGGATCGTTAGAGGAGGTCCATTTCCCACTCCCAGTCGGTGCACGCAACCCATTCATCATTTAATAACGCTTACGAACATCTAACGGTCCAATTTAAATCAAGAAATCGATACATCAGTACATCACTTCTCTATTTATAGAGTGTGACCCATTAGCCATAACGTCAGGGAAAGAGTTCATTCTAAGAAATACTGACTTCTACTGCTCTAAAGACAGTGAGATATTTTCTAGCCTTGCCTATCCATTCAAATTTCAAATCAATCTTCCTTTTATTTTACTCAAAACAGATTAATACCGTTTGCATTATTTTCCAATTAAAATTTCATTGAGAAATTAAGGTTACAAAGAAGAAATGGGTGCTTTGGATCATCTCTCAAACATCTTCGACTGCTCCAGCGGCCATTCCAAGCTCAAGAAACGCAAACAACTGCAGGTGTGTAGAAATAATTCTTAGATTTTCTGTTTAATATTTCAGCTTGAAATAAATATTATTGTTTTTTTTTTAATTATGAAAATACTAGAAAGATCTGGGACAAATCTCGAGAACGTTGATTTTATTTTATGTCGGTTTAAATTCAACATTTCACACCTTACACCTGACAACTCACCTGCTTTGTTTCCTACCGTTTATTTATTGATGAATCTTTCTTAACCCTTATATAATTTTTTTCGTGAAAGTAAAAATTTTCTATTTATGCTGACAGTAGAAATATAAGACTGGTAAATTTGTAATTCTTGTAAACTATTTAGGTGCTTTGAATCTATGTATAGGTTAAACTAATAATCGAGGAGCGAGAAAAAGAAAATCGACTTTAAATTAATTAAAAATAAGAGCATGTAAGTTGCCAACTTATAAGACGTGAGTCAAGATTCGCGTCTGAATCCTTATTAAAAGGTTGAACCCCAATTTTAAGGGCCCCCACCGATCCTGCCCTGGGCCATCGTGGAGGAGGTAAATCGCAGGATGTGCCTCTCAGGAGTCAGGGTGGAGAGCACATGGATAGGCCAAGGCTGTTAACCCATATGGTAACTCCCGCTTGCAACAAAGCCAATTTCACCTTGCGGGGAATCGAACTCTGCACACTGCCGCGCTGAGCCCTATCCACCCTCCCTTTTGCTACTGGGAGATATGCCCTGGGGGCAACATCTGAATCCTTATTGTTCACACGTTGCGAAGATGAAGTAAGTTGGCTCTTTATCATAAGAGCATGTTTGGCAAATAAGAAGCTTTCTTATAAATATTGAGAGTAGCAATTTGTGTGGAGAAAAAGTGGTGTCACAATTTATAAGCAATTCTTTGAGAACAAGTAGAAAACATGGTACAAGCTGGAAGGAAGGTGCTCAACTAGTACAGCATGGACGAAACACTAACAGTCCTCAAGCATTTAAATGTACAACGTTGCCCTGCTCCTTTTTGTGCTGTCCCCATGGATGTATCTGTACTCAATCTTGGAGGATAGTGTTAATTAAGTCCCTGGGCTCTATTAAAATTTTAATACATTTTTTTCTTTTTTCTTTTCAAGCACACGGTTTTCAAAAAAATAATATTGCACATAAGTTTTTTAAACCAGAATTCCTAAAAAAAAAAAAATCACTATTCCAAGATACATTTTTCCCTAAAAGTTAATTTCAGTGGAGTCAAAATGAGGCTAAATTGATAATTTGATAACTTCGGAGAAATTTGAATAAAAATGAATAGAGAAAAGATGGGACTATTTTTTTTTTAATTTTTTTTTTGGGGCAGCCCTAGATGGTTCTAGTTCTAGTTCAGAGGTGTTAATTCCTTTCTTATAAAGTTCTCCATGTAAAGGTAACACGCCAAATATTCAAGTATAATTTACTTTTGTTTGTCTCTCTTTGCATGAGCAAGATGTCTTCCTTGTTCTTGGTTCTCAATAAAGGTAACTAGCCAGAACATACAAGAATAAATGTCTTCGGAGATAAATCTTTAAACCTCTTCTTATTGTCCAACAATTTTTGTCTACTCCACCTAAGACTGATCTAGAAAGATGTACTTTTCTTGGTTTTATAAAATAGTTGTCTCTTTTTGTTTGAATATGGTAGTTCATTCATTTAAAATTTAGTCCCTGTTAGGTCCTAATTTTTTAAAATTTATTTTTCCTCAAACCCATTTTCAACTACACGTTTTATGGAATCTACAACTTTTATCAACTTTTTAAATACACATTTCATCAACTTTTATCAAAATTTACTAAAATTATAATTTGGTAGTCATGCATGTTCCATCCATAAGGTGGTCCATCCTGCACATAATATGAACCGCTTTAATTGGGTAGGTACTTGCCAATTTCGAAAAACTTGAATCTGTCAACAAATTTCACAATCATTTTGAGCATGTTGTTAGGATATCAATATCTTACCCCATATATTTTCATTATTGTACTTTATTGGCACACTTTTTAATCTAATATTTTAGTAATCCATTTTCCTCTTTCTTTTAGACAGTGGAGATAAAAGTGAAAATAGACTGTGAAGGATGTGAGAGGAAGGTGCGACGGTCTGTTGAGGGAATGAAAGGTGTAACTTCGGTCCAGGTGGAGCCAAAGCAAAGCAAGCTTACCGTCATTGGTTATGTAGATCCCGAGAAGGTTGTGGCTCGTGTGGCTCATCGGACGGGCAAGAAGGTCGAGTTATGGCCCTATGTCCCGTATGATGTCGTTGAACATCCTTATGCACCTGGTGTCTATGATAAGAAAGCCCCTGCAGGGTACGTGCGGAATGCTCAAGACCCTCGAGTTTCACAACTTGCTCGTGCGAGCTCGACTGAAATTCGTTACACCACTGCTTTTAGTGATGAAAACCCAACTGCATGTGTTGTCATGTGATCTTAGTATATCATCATGTATGATACAAAACAGTGATCTTTGTTAAGCATATCTAGTTTTTTATTTACGTTGTCTTTATGGGTTGTTGGCCAATTAAAAGTCAATAGACAAGTTTCTGTTTGATTTGAGTTATATATATGAAATTTTGTCATGTAAAATAGTTGAAATGGCTTTAAATGAAACAAAAATGTTAACAACTTCTATATTTGAAGAAATATACAGTACAAAAACAAAGAATCAATTTCTTCATGGAAGATACTTCTCCTTGGAGGCTTGTTTTTGTTTGCTTTCGATTTCTTTCCATAACATGAACTTACCTATAACAAAATCTTCTACTAGAATTATTGCTTCAAAAGCAACCTCGATTTTTGGCAGCAATTCTATCCAAGCATGTCGAACATTGCACTCTTCATTACGACGGAAGCCCCCCTGTTGTAGGACGGAATGGTGATGGGGAAAAACATTTGTCGTACTCCTTCCGACTTTAGAATGGGAAAGATGATGCCATATGCACTCTGCACCAACAAATTATTCACCCTTTTAATCGTAATTTGAAAATGACCACGACCACGAACATCTAATTACAAGAGAAGTTACATTTTTTAATAGAAAACAGGAGTGTGTGAAAAAGTGTTACCCACCGAGAGCAATCTAGCTCCAAGCAACACGCGCTTGGGTGAAGGAAACGGTAGCAGCAAACGGCCTACTCCATAGATAGCCACGGCAAAGAAGTGAGCAACCAAGCTCATGGGCTTTGGGTTTAAGCCAGATAGGAGTGCAATTGGTCCTTGCGAGTAAATGCCTCCAAGGCTTAAATAATCAAAACACGCCTCTCGCATTTCCCTGCTTGCTTGATCTGGTGCAGGACAGAATACTTTGTAGAGGGCACCTGCTAATGTGTTTATTGTAGAAGCCACTGGCTGAAAACCAAAAATCTCTCGGGTTTCATTATCTTTATTTTAAGTGGAGCAGCCCAATCTCTTATAAAATGAATGCAGAAACGAGGCTAACCTTGCGAAGAGAGTAAAAGGATTCAAGATGTTTGGTGAGGGCTGCTGCATTGCTGAAATCTTGTACAGGTCGAAGTAGATCGCGGAGGACTACCACATCAGATAGAGCTACTGTCATTCCTCCACCGGTCAAAGGGTGTCGCATATTGAATGCATCTCCCAGCAAAATTGCACCTGGAGTAGGAACTGGAGCTGCCGGCATACTTCTGTTTGGCATTGTTCGAATGTCTCCTTTCTCGACTGTTTTGATGAATGGATTCCGAAGTTCAGGTGGAAGCTGATAATCGAAAGTATAAGAATAACAATCAGCAAATTGAATGATTCCTAACCATTTCCAATTCTATGGATTGAGATTTTAATACCTGATCAACCACCTTGGTTTTCAAATATTTTGTCATGTCTCCATTAGAAATTGAAGGTAATTTTTGACCTGGAATATCAACCAAACAGCGTACTTCGGTGCTACTGATAGGATAGAACAAAATAGGCGAAGGATTGGCCAATATAACATGTCCATGATTAGGATGTGGAAGCCGGCTGTTCTCCAGGACCACGACCATACCAACAAAATGGGACATAATATCGACCTGCCAAACAACAAAAAATGCCACCTCATTGAGTGCAGGAAACATAATTCCGTGTGTTGAATAAAATTTTTGAAGTAAAAAAAAAGTTGAAACAGTTGAGTGTTAGTTTTTTTGTCCTAATCACCTGGGGTACGCACAGATTGCGCCTCAAGTTTGAAAAGCAACCATCACACACAATTGTTAGAGGGGCCTTAGCTGTATTTTCTTGACCATCTTTACTCTTGTACTTAACTCCTACAACTGTACCATTTTCTTCAACCAAAGATGTTACAGTTCCTTGTTCCATTTTGACACTGCAAAAGAAAATAAGAATTAGAATCTCAGCTAGAAGTAGTGTAATGATTCAAAATTTTGTCTGCGATTGTCTTTTGAAACGAGCTTTCTGTCACTTAAAACCATACTTGGGAAGAGATGCAGCCTTTTCGCGTAGCCTTTGGATGAATCTCCCGTGATGGAAGCTTCTGCCGGAAACGTCTGAATTGAATTCTTCCAAAGGATAGGATAGTCTAGCATATTTCCCTTCTTTGTAAAGTGCATAACCATACACTTGCTGAGAGTCAATCCCAATTACACAATCTGTCACAAGATAAATTCACTTGCAAGTCAACATCAGCATCTAAATGAAGATCCAAAAGAATTTAGATTGATGCATCAAAATATAGCACTCACCCTCCATTCCCAACTCGACTAATTTGAGGTAGCCTCCTGGTTGTAGCAACTCACCAACAATTCTATCAGGTTGGGTTAAGTCCCTCTCTATCACTTGCACTCGACGCCCATCCTATGATTGGATATAAATGAGTCATGTCAAAGGTGAAAGTAGACTATACATGCATACATAGCACATGAACATGGATATGAAAGCATCAAGTGGCAACAGGACCCTAGTCAAGTTATACAAATTACATAAAAGAGATTTCTTCAAGATACCTTGGCCAGAGAGTAAGCCAATGCAGAACCGGCTACACCGGCTCCAACAACAACAACATCTGATTCTCCATCTTCCAGGGATGCATACTTTTCAGAACTCTGTACACTTGCACCTCTCTGGGCCTCAGTTGAAGCTCTTTGTGGCCTCTTCCCAAGCAATCTGTATAACACAATAAACCCGAAAAGAGAAGCAATGAAAAATCCCAGAATAAACTCTTCCACCGTATTCGAATCCATGACCAAGTGAAGAATGTGTTTACAATAGAATGCTATTGTCTTAATTACTCTTGATTCATGTTTCAATCACACTTATATAGGTGCTCTAAATAGAGAAGCTCTCCAAATTGGACTTTGTAAGTCAAACAAATCTGGTTGTTGGAGGAATAATTATTTAAAATTAACAAATGAGTCAATACATAATATTATTTCCAAGGTTTTTTGGAAAACAATGGACGCAAACAGGGGATGACAGGAAATTCTTATTCATATCAGTTTGTTTAATTCAGAAAAGTTAATATAGAACTAATTTCCAGCCCCACATATAGAGAACAAACTTGAGAATAATTTTGATAAAGATATTAGCTCTATTTGTAGTCAATCGCTAATGAACAAATTAGAGAATTAATCAAGAGGGCTGTCAATAGGACAACCAGGCTTTGTCTTGGACGAATATTTTCCTCCATCGGTAATTATTGTCAATCAGCGTTAAATCATGTAATCTAAAACATCTTATCGAAACAAATAATTTTATCGAGTCCCCCTGAGACTAGTATTTAACACTACACTCGAACTAAAGAGCATTTCTCATTGAAAGACATTAAAGTTGTCACATATGGTCTTTAAGGTCCTACATGAATGACAAGTTGGATGGGCCGACTTTAGAACTATTTTTCGCCATATTTCAAAATGAGTATTTTGAGTTTGAAACTTGAGCAGAGCATCCACTTCTGTATGTCATCCCAAAATTCTCTGTCAAGCCCCAACCTTCATTCAGCAAACGGATGATCTTTTAAAACTAAAGTGCATCGACTGAAGACCAAAATGATGTTAGTATGAAGTTGGCATTTATTTTTCAACTAAACATTTTAGGTGTTCATGTGCCAAATCGTAACGGTCTGATAACTTGGTACGTGAACATGAGATTTTCAGTTGCACAAAAAAATATCTATCTTGCTACACATAAATTCTAGTTGGCATTTTACTTTACATTGTACCACATGACACACGATTTTATTATTGATTTCTTCAACACTTAAAATAATCAATAATCTTGATTTTACCACATATTCAAATGTCATCCAAGTTGTACATAAATAACGTACAAAAAATTTATATTTTTCTTTCTCAATGCTCGTTTAGTTTTGATTTTTCATCTTAAAAAATCAATTTTTTAATTGTTACATTTCTAAGTTAGTCGTCACTTTTAACTTCTTCTCTCATAAATAGAACATATTTTTCTCTTCAACAATCGAAAAATCAATTTTCATAATCATTATTAGACAAGCCTTGAATTCTAAAGTGTAAACTCCTGAATCGACTCATAACAAGCAATTTTCACTCGGCCCAGCCCATCAGCCCTTCTCCTCGATATTCCCTCCTGTTTCATCATTTTGGCGGGAACACGAAAAACCCCATATAAGCATCTGCCGCCGAATGACTCTGCGCCTTACACCGTCAATGCGTGACAGAGAAATCGAGGAAGAAGAAAATGGCAGAGGGAGGAGTCGAAGAAATGGTGGAGGAGGAGTTTTCCGTGTGGAAGAAGAACACGCCATTACTGTATGACCTAGTAATCTGCCATTCACTCGAGTGGCCATCTCTCACCGTCCAATGGCTCCCATCGCCACCGTCCGATGATGGTCCTCTATCTGTACACAAATTGATACTGGGGACCCATACCTCCGATGATTTTCCAAATTTCCTCATGGTTGCCCACGCCCATGTCCCCCGCGGTACCATTGAAATGGAACCCGATAATTCCAACACCCCTAAGGTCGGTAATTATTTTCTTCAGCACGCTCATTACTCTATGTTCATTTGTAATTGTGCGCATGTTGATGTCTACGGTACTTACACGTATCAGCTTAAGTGTTTGATGAAATTACCGAATGAAATGGCGTTTCCTTTTTGTCGAGGTTTTCTTATGGTTATGGGTATATGCCCAGCCTATCCGGTGGTTCACTGTATTTGTGTCATTTTATTTTGTTGATGTGTTGATTTACATATGATTGAGGCTCTCCTCTTGGTGAGGTTGTTTTGGTTGTATGGTATAAGGTCGTATTTTCTTGACGGGCCATCTATTTTAGTTGGTTGTACCTTGTGTTTTCGTTGATAAATACTCTCATTTATCAGGAAGAGCATCTCTTATTATCCCTTAGTTCGGCTAATCTTTCTTATCTTTAGGTTTTAAGAAGTGTAGGGCTCAATTTGCTACCTATAAATATGTAATTAAGATATAACATGCACGATACATCCCAGTTTCTGCTTAAGGAGCATTTTGTCTGACTATATATTATATAAATGCAGGTGGAAATTGTTCAGAAAATACATGTTGATGGGGAAGTTAATAGAGCTCGGTGTATGCCACAAAACCAAGCTTTGGTCGCTGCAAAGACTAGCGATTCTGAAGTATATGTATTTGACTGTACCAAGCAACTGGTGAATGCAAGAGGGGGTTCTTGTGATCCTGACTTGAGATTGAGAGGTCATGATAAAGAAGGATACGGGCTGTCTTGGAGTCCATTCAAAGAAGGATATCTTTTGAGTGGTTCAAATGATTGCAAAATTTGCTCGTGGGATGTTACTGCAATGCCTCAAAACAAAATACTTGAAGCAAACAATGTCTTTGGGGTTGTTACTGATTTTTTCCTCTCCTTGCCCCCGTGTTGAATTTGGTTATTTTTACATTGAGATGTTTCTTATGATATAGAAAGCTTGTATTTTAGGCTGTATATATTTTTGGTTGTTAACTTCCTCGTTTTTTGTATCAGGGACATGAAAGTGTGGTTGAGGACGTGTCATGGCATTTGAAAAATGAAAATTTATTTGGTTCTGTGGGAGATGATTGCAAGCTAATGATTTGGGACTTGCGCACAAAAATGCCCCAGCATTCTGTTGTGGTGCATGAGAAAGAGGTAAAGAAGTGACTGTTGCATTTTCTTTTTCCTTTGAATTTCTCAATATTTTGGATTCTTACAGTAGTAACTTTGCTTAATATGCATGAAGTTATAGCTCAGAGAAACTTCATTTCCAGATTGTCTGGTGATAGTTGGTTCCATCAAGTCTGACTCACAATAGTTGAGTTAATAACCCAAATGGTCATTGACTTTGCAAAAATTTTCCACGGGGTCACTGCACTTTAAAAATCATCACATTCATACATTCATCACTAAACTTTGCAAAACGGTTCCCAAAGGATCACTAATTCAGTGACCCGTGAAATTTTTTTGCAAAGCTCAGTTACCCCATGGAAATCTTTTGCAAAGTTTAGCGATGAATGGAGTGATTTTTAAAGTTCAGTGACCCAGTGTAAACCTTTGCAAAATTCAGTGATGACTTGGGATGGTTTTTAAAGTTTAGTGACTCCGTGAAAACTTTTTGCAAAGTTCAATGACCATTTGGGTTATTAACCCCACGATAGTTACTTGATTATATGAAGTCCTCATTCCAACAATTTTTTCCCTCCACTTTGATATTGACAAATTTGTTGTTGCATTTACTTAGAGTTGTGAATTGATTGGATGAATACAAGACAAAGAAACAAAGTTAATTAATCAAAACTCAACATGTTAGTCCATCTTGCTTCTCCATTGGCAAATTTGATTTTGCTTGCAAGGAAGTTGCAATGGTGGTGTGAGTGAGAGGGTGCACAAACGAAATTGAAAGTCCTATACAATAACTTAGAGAATCCAGTTCTCTTTTCTGTAACCTTTCATTACAACATGGGAGGTAACTTAGCTGAGATGAGATGCATGTTATTTTGGATTAGTTCATGAAAGTTTGTTGTTATATTGACATATAGTCTTTCATTAAGGATGCATTCCCTGCTGTTTTCATGTTCATATTGCCTTTATAAACTGTGCTTAATTCGTCATTGATGACTTTTTTCTTTCTATTTTCAGGTGAACTATTTATCATTCAATCCATTCAATGAGTGGGTTCTAGCTACAGCATCCTCTGATACAACCATTGGCCTGTTTGATCTGCGCAATTTAAGTTCACCACTCCATGCTCTCAGTAGCCATATGTATGTCTTATAACTTGGATTGAAAATGTCTTATAACTTGGATTGAACCTCTCAAGTCTACTTTCTAGAAAGTTAATGATGTATTTCCTGGAGTCACTCACCAGGGGACATATATTGCTCTCGTTGTATAAAATTATTAATAACCTTTTAGGAGGAATAGTAGTGGATCCCACAAAATGTGTGGATAATAAATTAGTAGTAATTATGAATGCATGGTTGAAACTGAATCCACGAAATGTGTGGACTATAAATGTGTAGCATTTATGAATGTGTGGTTGAAATTGATGTTTTACTCTGACTGGATAGGAAAAGAAAATTATTAGTAACCTTTTAGGAAACTTGAATAGCGTTTGCTCTGTTCCTGCCTAATTGCTGGTTTCCTTCTAACCATTATCCTGATCTAGCTTTCTTAATGGCGAGCAATTGGGACGATTGACCTATGAATACGAGCCTACCTATATGTGTTGGAACTTTTGATCCTTGATGAGACTCTGCTATATTCATTTATTGGGCTTATTATTTTCAAAATTAGTTGCTCTCTGTGGGTTTTCCAATTAAAGAATGGAATGACGTCAATAAAATTGTTGGGCATGCAAATCAGAATATTGATTTTACATGGCACTTCACTTTTATTATTAGAGTGGCAAAAAATATTCATGCTGGTGACCCCAACTTTATTGGAGTTCAGGTTAATGAACCAATAAGTATTCTGCATATCTTCAAATGGTAGGAAGGAAAATGATGAAGTGTTATGTTGACTGACCACTATTACTCTATTTTACACAGGGAGGAGGTATTCCAGGTAGAGTGGGATCCTAACCATGAAACTGTGCTGGCATCTTCCGCTGATGACAGAAGGTTGATGGTTTGGGACCTTAACAGGTACTCATGCTCTCACCATTGTTTCAAATTCCATCCAATTGTTGTGGGAATTATTTGTGAACAATGGGATTGAAGTCTTGTGAAGGACAAAGGCTCATAGATTGGAACTGAATAACATAGTTTTGAACCTTCCTGCCATTGAACTTATTTTTGTGCCGGGAATCTCCAACATACATGATTGCTGCCTTGAGTCTCTTTCTTTTCTTCAAGGGTTGGGATGAGGTCCAAGCCTTCAATTTTAAATTTATCAGATAAATTTTCTTATTCCCACTTGTGAAGTTTCGTCAGTCAAACTTGAACACATCGTTTTTCAGGGTTGGAGACGAACAGCTGGAAGGTGAAGCTGAAGATGGTCCTCCGGAGCTCCTCTTCTCTCATGGTGGTCACAAAGCAAAAATTTCTGACTTTTCATGGAACGAGAATGAGCCATGGGTCATTTCAAGTGTAGCAGAGGACAACACTCTACAGGTATGGCAAATGTCCGAGAGTATTTATCGTGACGAGGATGATATCCCAAGTGCTGATTGTAGGTAATGTTTCTTGTTTCAAGAGTTGTAGGGTTGGACTACCTACAAAATGGTGATGACCTTGCACACTTGCACTTGAAACTATTGAATTTTGTAAAAAAAGGTCGAACGCCACAATATTTCTTTTGGGTTATTTTGTTTGTCATTATTCAATGTGTTGTGAGTAAAAGTTTGATGCAAAGGTTCGTCATTCGTTCGCTGGAATCTGGGGATTCTAATCTTGTCATATAAGACTATACAAAACCCTGTTAAATTATTGTTTTAATTGGAGTCACTAAATTATCTACCAAACTTCACACATTCTTTATAGGAACATGTGATGTGTGCATATTTCTTTCTTAGAGCATTTTTAAGAGGCTCTTCAAACATGATATTTTTCCTATTTTAAAAAGTCGACTTTTAAAATCATGCTTTAAGAAATTTTTTAAATTAACATTTTAATTTAAAAAATGGGTTTGCTCACTCTTTATAATAAATGTATTTAAAGTATTTCAATTTTTAATGTAGGAAATTAATAAAATAATTTAGAAAAAAGTTACCTAAACCAAAAGATAGTGAAAAATAATAAATATTTTTTGAGAGTTGTAAAATTAAGTATTAATAAATATAAAAAGTTTGTTGGAGTACTTTGAAATTTTAACTCTTTAAATTTATAAATGCTCTTTAAATAATAAAATACGCTCTTTAAAAATAGAGAGTATTTTGAAAATGCTCTAAAGTCATTAATTTCCAGTTACAAATATATTTGTGCAAGCAATGTATCAAACGATCTAGAGACACACTCCTTTTTTATGAATTCCAGTATATTTTGAAATATGTAAAAAAACAAATTACTAAATAAAAAACTATTTATCATTTATGTTTTCACTTAATAAAAATGAACACTCTATAATTAAGCCCTTGTTTGATCCCCATTTTGGGGAAAATAATGATTTTTGAATAGTAGATTGATGGATAATGTGTGGTAAAAATTTAAATAAAAGTTTTTAATTTACATGTGATATTATTTTATAGAAAAATGTGTGGTAGAAAATGAGTTTTGAATAGATGAATTTTTAAAAGAATTAGAATCAAATTGAGGGATAAACATAATATTCATCAACCCAACACGTTCCTTGGTAGTTGTCTTATGCATCCTTCACTATCAATGTAGGAAATATTTGTAAGTGATTTGATATTATTCGATCTTGATTCAAGACATTGATTCTTAGAATAGGTCAAACGATTTACATCCTTACTTCGAGAATCCCATCCTCGAGCAATGATATTGTCCGGCAGATATGACTTGTAAAATATTATAATAGACACCAATATATTTCTTAGTTTACATGCGTTATAAATACTCCCTAAACTTTACTTTTTAAGTCTTGAGTTATATTATTTTTAATTTTTTCCACGCGCACAAAATATTATAATATTTGCCATGCATGTATTACTCGAGGTTGGGATGCTTGGATTACAACTGACTGACTGAGAATCAATTAACTTATGTTGAGAGTTCATGTCATAGCTTAAATTTACGTGTTAAACCAACACTCTATATTTATCTTTTTTATAACCAGGCCGATCCTGGGCACAGGCAAATGAGACTTATACCTCATGCCCAAAATCACAAAGGGCCTATTTTGGTCCAATTTTTATTTTTATTATTATTTTTTAAATATTAAAAGAAGGAAAATGAAAATAGTTTTTTCATTAATTGTGAGATGATTGAGATATTTGTTTGTTATTTTAATCTTAAGTTTTAAGTTAACAATATGTTGCATAATATATCGTTGAATTTTGTATTTACGTTGATTTTTGGGGGTCTAATTTTTGAACTTCGTCTCGGGTCTCGACAATTATAGGACTGGCCCTACTTATAACTAATTTATGAAATGAATTTTATAATGTGACAATGATATGCATTAACATTTAGGAAAAGGAAAAAAAAAATTACATCTTAGCTTATTTTTAAAAGATATTTTATTTAAATTTGTAATCCGACAGTAATGAGTAACCTGGTGAAAAGAAAACTATAAACTCGAGTTAGTTGCAGGCTGGTTAAAGTTGAACGTCTTTGAGACTCCATCAATAGCGTTAGATTCTAGTAGTTAGGCGCCATGACAAGTATGATTTCGATTTCCAATAAGTAATCACATGACAAATCAGCTCAAGAAGCTGCTGAATTCTCCCTCTCCTGTGCATTTTGTGGTGGCACAAAACGGTTCCAGGAACTATATAGACAATTAATGCAGCAGTTACTGCAGTAAAGCGTACCAGAAATGAAACGAAGCAGGGGGCATTTGTGCGCGAAACTCTCCTACGAGATAAATATGGAAAGAAAATGAATTCTAGAATATATTGCTCCATTCCATAAAGTTGAGTTTTTGGAAAGTGTGAATTGCCTAGAAAATAAAAATATATCTTCATAAAAAAATGTTTTCCTTATTTTTGAGGAAAACATGATCATGCAACCAACTTATGAATATATTTTCCAAATCAAACACCCCAAAAGTAAGAACTTTGGTGAAAAAATGACATTTTCGATAGGAAGTAAAGTCAATCAAACACACTTGTGTTGAACTTATTTGTATGAAAATTGTCAATTAAACGTGTTTGGTTGGCTTCATTTTCAATCTTAAAAAATGTTGTACTTCTTCAGCTTTTGGAAGTGTGAATTGCTAGAACTTACCATCTCCTAAAGAAAATATTTTCCTCGACTTTGAGAACGAACAATACGGTCACTCGACCAACTTTTTTTGCAAAATACTCTCCATTGTAAAAAATACCAATCAAACACTTCAAAAATAGGAAGTTGGATGAACAAATTGAAATTTTCCATGAAAAAAATATCAATCAAACACACTAGGCAGAGATCACCCCTAACATCTAAAACTGTAGGATTTTGGCACCGTCTGATTTGAGGCCAATCAAGGCTCAGCAGGGTATTTCTTGGAAGGCACTGGAGAAAATATTCATCCACACATACTTGGCCAGATAGCTTAATTGAACCGGCAAGGTGGATGCCCTGGTGTGGAAACTTTGCTTTACATTATATGAAGTATAGCACCACAGGCCCCGGCTCATTCTCTTCCAGTAACCACATAAAAAGCAGGGAAGACGAGGTTACATTCTTCAAGGGGAATGCATCAAGAAAACCTCAAAACAGAGAACAATCAAAATACAAAAATTATGAAAACAAATATTTCGTTTTATTGTAGGAATAGTACGGTGCTGAAGAAATCTCAGTATCCTCTTCAGTCTTCATTAAGTACTGCTAGCTATGCTCCATTAGAGTCCCTTGCTTTACATTCCATCATAAGCAAAAAGGAAAATAAAACCCCGATATTCTTGCAATCACTAGAACCCCAACTACATAGCAATTTTTACCTTCACGAAAAAGAGATGCTAGTTCTAATCTTAAAAATGGAAGAAGCAAGAAAAATTGGTTAAGCTTATCCTCAAAATTATGATGCCTCCATCAGAACAGTTCTTCAACTAGCTGTTGCCGCACGTGCCCCTCCTGATGAGTTATAAGAAACAAAGATCGAAAGTCATAATATCTAAGGTAGCCAATCAAAAACATCTTTACAATCATATTTGGTTCATTATATTGGCAACAAAAGTAAATAACATGTACATCAGTGAGGAGAAAAACAGATGCAGTAATACTGTACAATAAGGCAGATAAGTTGCAGTGTTATTACAATTATTAGGAACATATTGCAAAAATTTAAAAGTTCAGGTTTCTATTTGAACTTAGCCGACGACGATCAGATTGCCAAGTCAGCATGATGCCAAACCACTAGAAAATATTGGTATTAATAAAAAACCAATAAACTATAAACCTTTTTTATTCCATTAGGGCTTCTCCTATTGGAACAGATTAAATTCTATCAAATGTATATAGTTGATCCACAAAAAAGGAGGGAGTCAAAACAATCTTTCTCTACATTCCCTTTTGGTTGGACGGACAGGTAAACTGGAACATGATGGAAACAATCAAGTCATACAAAATGAAAGAACAGACAACGAAATTCAGGAATACAGGTCACACTAGAACAAAGTAGCAAGCCACCTGACTCAATGGGCACTAGCTCATGTTAGAATATATTTTGCATAAATAATATCCATCCAATCCATACGACATAATTCGCGAAATATCAAATACATCATATCACAACAATATAAGAAAGGCAACTAGTGGTAAGATGGCGAAAACAGTATCCCCTTCCTCATCTAATCAAAGACCAGTTAAGGAACAAGCAAGACACACTGCCCCAAAATTAGCAAAGCCATTAAGAAATTAATATATCTTTTTCTACCAAGGTCAGGTTTAATTGCCATGCATCCTTCATTTGGTAACATGAAAACCTAATATATTTAGAACAATAAAATTCACCTTTTCTCCTATTCCCTTTGGATGTATTGCCAGTAGAACCACTACCAATATCACAACCAGGAGGAGCTTTAAGACCAGAATTTTGATTCCCCAAACATTGCAGTGTGTCAAATCCACAGTCACTGATGCTTTGACCATTTAATGCAACACGTTCTGATCCAGGATGAAGGCAATGAAGCTGATCGCTTTGCTGCGTGTTACATGGATTCATCACATAGGTACCAGGACTAGCATTTACAAGGTATTGATAGACATCACCACTCTTGTGGGGCTTCTGGTAGGGGAAAGCTCCGATTTCGCCTTCAATTCTTCCTCTAAAGTCCACGAGCAGGCACTTGAGCCTAGCAATCTCAGCCTCCAATAGAGCTTGACCTTGAAGCCTCTTCATTAGCTGCTGATTCAAAGCTCTCAGTCTAACAACTTCATCCTCCAACGATGCAGCACGAGCCTTCTTCTTCTCACGATACTTGCGTACAGCTTCACGATTACCTACAGGGCGTTTCTTAGATTTATTCTCTACTGACTCTGCAGTATCATCACTTGGGGATGGAACTTCACTAGGGGCAGGCACAACTTGCGTGTGGATATGGTAACAAGTGTGCGTATGGGAGTTATCAGGACCAACTGTTTTGCAAGCATGGGCATGGGTGCAGGCCTGTGTACGGCCAAGAGAATCAGTGCAGGCCTCTGTCCGACCAAGAGAATCGTTGCAGGCCTCTGTCCGACTGAGAAACTCGTCTATGTCAAATGAGCAACTGGCTTGAGCATTTACCATATCCAAACATGATAATAATTGATCGAGCTCCCCATTGTCCATTTCAACAGAAAATTTATTCATTAAACCAAAAAGTTCACAAAATGATGACTGAAATCGAAATTTGCAGTCTTATCTCAACAAGAAGTGTCCATTCCTTGCAGTATATAACTCAGAGAAGACCTAAAAAAACAGATAAGTGATATAAGACTATCAGCCAGGATCTGTTAGTTATATAAGAATATTAGTTGATTTTGACAATGCCCCACATGAAACTTTCTATCTAAACCCAATCACAAACCTCAATTTTTGGTACAATGAACTATAGTAAAACCCAACCAAAAGATTTGAACTTCAAGCATAACCCATGTATTAAAATCGTAATTCAGGTGAAATTAAAGTCGACATTCTTAAATTTAAACTAAACATTTACCCTAAAAGTTAATTCAGAAAACACAAAAAATATAAATAAAGAATAATCAAGAAAATTCGAAATTTGAATTTGATCACAGTGATGAATATTCACAAATTGAAACCACACAAACAGAGAGCAGTAAATTAAAACGAAATTGACATACCGGAGTAATTTTATTCAGAATTTGAACTATCACGATTGAACCTTTAATCAAGAGGCGCAGAGGAGGGTTTGAGAGATATCGAAAATGCATGACCCCCAATGTCAATATTTTAATGGCGGATGGATATGTGGCGAAGCATATGAACCATTAACTCAGCCAGAGATTTCCACATTTACACAGAGGAGAAAAGGAAGTTTTTTATTTTCCTTCCTGAAAAGTCAGAAACTTTGAATTAATTAAATTTTTCACTGCATAATTGAGAGATTGATCTTGAGGAATTTTTTCCTGCAGAATTAATGGAAAGAACAATGCAGCAATGAATAATGTTGTATAATTGTATTTTCTTTCTTTTCCTATTGAAAATTTCTGTTGGGTTCTTAGGCTTTCGTGTATGCTTAAATTAAGAGCAAATCAGATTATTTTATAAAAATAATTAATTTTTCCAGAAAAGTAGTAATTTTTTTTTAACGATTTATGAGTAAACAATATTAATTAGTAATTATTTTAACATTAATATGTATTTTTTAATATCTAAATTAAATTTTTAATAATTTAAATTAGGAATAGTGTGTGGATAAGTGTGCTTTAAATATTTTTGTTGGTCATTTTACTTAAGATTTTCCTTTTTAGGGATGTGCATCTCTTTTACCCCTTTTACATTAGAGGTGGGGTCCCACGAGTATTGGATTGAACGAATTTTTTTGTCATCTCTGGTAACAAGTCCGTTATATTTAGCCCCTGTCTATCATTCTTCCATTTTTTTGCCTAACTCATTTTCAAACACATGTCCTCGCAATAAAATATTTTACACTTAAACTCAAAATTTTTCTTTATTTTTAATCACATATTCTTTAAAAAATCACTATTTCAAAACTCATTTAAAAAAAAAAAAACTCTTTTTAATGTTCAACAAACAGGAACTTAGTACGCAGTAAATGATAAGAATTAATATATATGGACATAAAATTAATTTTTTTATTTTTTAGTATATATATATTTTTTCAATATTGTCTGAATGACATGATTAGTGAACCAAATTCATGCATGCAACTCCAAAAAATTTATTTTCTTTATATACCAACTTATATGTTTATTTGTCCTTGGCCTACGTGCCAATGGGTCTATAGATGATTTAAGTGGAAATTACACTCACTCGTGTTTTTTAACATCTCCATTCAAAAATCAAATTTAAATTTTTTTTATTCAAAAATCATATAATAATTCAATCTTTAAATATTTATAATAACTAGTTGTTGACGCGTGCGTTGCACGAATGTTGTACTTATTGTGTTTTTATTAGTGTAGAAATTGTAGATAAACCCTTGGAGTTATAGGGAAATTTTGGGTGGTAATTGAAGAGGACATTGTAAGTTTTTCAACAGTATCAAAATTCGGCAGTATCGGTGGTCGGAACTGGCCAAAAAGTTACAGCAAAAGTAGTCCAAAAAACTGAAAAAACATTTTTGAATTTCAATGACCGTTTTTGAAAGTTTTTAAACTTCAATGACGGTTTTTTAAAGCACTCAAAACTTAAGTGACCGTTACTGAAAGTTTTAAACTTCAGTGCCGTTTTGGAACTTTCTCCTAAGTTCAGTGACCATTTGTGAAATTAACCCTTTAAATTAGTAAATAAGTGAGAACTACGAAATTAATTATTTTCTAATTGCTATATCATGATTATTTTTAAAAAAAAATCTAAACAACAAATCTATACTTGGTGAAGAATTAAATGAGTCAGCAAACCAATCACGCGAGTGTGCTTGCAAACTAAAATGCTCTCCGTAAAGTGCGGAGAGTTCGCTTGAACTCACCCATTGTGTGCGGAGATTCAGCTTCAAATACTATTTGGTTTTTTCTTTTTTTAGTTTATCATATTTTTTCAGTTGAAGTATTTAACGATGTACTTATTTGACTAACCACTTTGAAGATAACATCAATGAGTTAAAATAGTTGTATAATCACAAACAAGAAACATACGCTATTTACCTTACAATAACAGAAAACAAAAAACCAAACATCATTAAAAATTCAAAATCAGAACTCGCCAACTTTTAGAGGAAAAAAATGGGGTTGAAAATTTTAGAAGAGAAGAAAGATAAATGGATATTGCGTGAAGAAGTAGGAAAATGCTAACTCCAAAAAAAAAAAGGAAGAAAAAAATGCTCTCCCCGCTTGAACTCTCCGCTCACTGTGAGAGTTCAACGCACTGTGGAGAGTTCGGTTGAACTTTCACAGTGTGCGGAGAGCTAGCAGTTGATTTTTTTTTCTTTCTTTTTTTTTTTGCCTGAAGAAGTAAGAAAAATGCTAGCTTAAAAAAATAAATAAATAAAATGCTCTCCGCACAGTGCAGAAGGTTCGCTTGAATGCGGAATTCCATACCTTATGATTGTCAGCTTCTTAAAGAAGATATACCTCTTAACTCTATTCACTCTTGCAGCCTTGATTATGTTAAAAATTTACTTATATAAAAGCAAAATAAATAATCAAAATAAACATATTGCACAAACGTATGAAAATAAACAACGAAACCTATAATGGATCTTGATATGGTGGCAAAAACAACATTGGAAGGAATAAACTACCTAAAACATGATAAAAATGTCAATACTTGGGCTCTTAAAACTGGTTATTGTAATTTAAAATGAGCAAGCGAGTTAATATCTAATCCTTACCATTGAATCATTTTCTCAAAAGTCATTGCTTGTCCAAGTTGAGATGAGAGAATTTCGAACATAGGAGCAGAAAACCAGCTGCATCAAATGAAATTAATTTTTTTTATCAGACTCTACACAAAGGGATTATGAAATAAAGTTGAACATGTCATCTTGACATCCAAATGCACATAACAATAATAAACAACGAACTAAGCCCTATTTGGTTGGGTTAAAAAAGTAGATTAAAATCTCTGGGTTTTCTACTCATCTGTACTAAAACTGGCATTCCTCTAACACAATTACTACTAAAAAATAGCTTTTCACCTACGTGAAATTACCAATGGATTGCATCCGTTGGTGATCAGAAACGGATTATCCGTTGGTAAAAGTAATTCACTTTTAGCTACAATAATTAGCAACAAATTTTTCGTTGGTAAAGATGATATCTCTTTACCAACCGATATTCTGTACCTAATGTAATCGTTTAACATTTGAATATTCCGTATGTGATGTACCGAATATTACCAACAGATTGCATCCGTTGGTAATTAATAATGGATTATCCGTTGGTAACACTTTTAGCTACAATAATCAGCAACGAATTTTTCGTTAGTAAAGATGATGTCTCTTTATCAACGGATATTCCGTATCTAATATAATCGTTTAATATTTTAATCTTTTACCTACGGATATTCCGTTGATAATTAGAAACAGATTATTCGTTAGTAAAAATGATATCTCTTTGCCAACAGATATTCAGTGCCTAATATAACATTTAACATTTTGATATTTCAGCAACTGATATTCCGCTGGTAATTACAAACGGATTATCAGTTGGTAAAAATAATTCACTTATCCCACATCGAAAGTTTACAACAATATCTTTGTAGTTGCCCTCTATAAATTTGTGGTCCAATAAGGAGTTAAACAATATTTGGGCCTTTCGCTAAAATTTTTTTTTTATAATAATAATAATAACAATAACAACAACAATACTAAAAAATAAATAAATATTTTTTTTATCATACGGTTATTTACAACATTGATTTTTACTAATTGTAATGGTAGATATTTACCAACGGATTGGTTGGTATTGGTTAAGACTTTTAAGGTTCACACTTTTCCAAATCCGTTGGTAAAATGTTTAGTCTTTACCTACGGCATGATCCATTGGTAACTCTATCAGCGATCCTAAGATTACCGACGGATTTGTGGTTGCAAATATTCCGTTGGTGAAGATTATTAGCAATGGATATTAAGGCTTTAGAAACGAAAAATTCGTACCTGAAACTCTGTTTTTTAATAGTGAATTCCGTCGATTTTCCTCTCCTAACTGGTTGGAGAGTTTGGAGCTCAGTTTGAATCCAAACTCTTCAAATAGTCAGGAGAGCTATATTAAAAAAATATATATGCCTCTCCAAACAGTTTGAAGAGTTTAATACTAATGGATTTAAAAATATATATAAAAAATCTAGGCCTCTCCAAACTCTCCAAAAGTTTGGAAAGTTTGAAACTAATGGATTAATAAAAGTAAAAAAATCTATGCCTCTCCAAACTGTTTGGAGAGTTTGATACTGTGGATTAAAAAAAAAAATCTATACTTCTCCAAGTTGTTTTGGAGAGTTTGGAGCTCAGTTTGGATTCGAACTCTCCAAACAGTTTGGAAAGTGGAGCAACTCCACTATTTGCTGGGAGCAAAGTGCGGAGCTGTTCCAGACAAAGTGTGCGGAGTTACTCCGTATAGTGCGGAGCAACTCGACACTTTGTGTGTGCACACTTTGTAGCAAATTTTTTTCTAGCATCTACAATAAAATTAGCAAAACTAAATACTTGGTTTGGACTGTTCGAAAAGTTTCTCCAAACTCTCCAAATAGTTGGAGAGTTCGAGGCTTTGGCCAAACTCTCTAAACTATTTCGAGAGTCTAGAGAATTCTCCAAACTGCTCGGAGAGTTTAGAGAAACTCTCCAAACTGTTTGCAGAGTTTGGAGAAACTCTCCGAAGAGTTTGGAGAACATAGTATTTTTTTTTTAATTTACAATAGAGAGTTTGGAGAACATCGTATTATTATTATTATTTATTTTATTTTATTTACAATAGAGAGTTTGTCCAAATTCTCCAAACTATTGGGAGAGTTAAACTCTCCAAACTCTCCGGAGAGTTTGGAAAAGATCGTAAATTTTTTATTTTTTATTATTATTATTATTTTTTTTTACCATAAGCTCATTTTGAAAATGATGGAAGCCAAACTCTTCGTAGAATTTGGAGAAGATCCTAAATTTTTTCTTTTATTTTCTTTTACAATAAACTCTATTTTGAAAATAGTGTGGAAGGTGAGTCCATTCTTACCCATTTCGTCTTCCTTTTTTTTTTTTTTTTTCACTTGGCTTAGAAATATCATCTTGGAATTTACCTATGCATTATTTGAAGAGAATTTGTAATAGTAAAAAATAATGACAATTCAAGACACCAAAAGATGACAACGTGAAATTTTGTCATAAAGCCACAACTTAAAGTTCATTTCTAGCAAAAAGAAGGTTTCTTGAATTTCTTTGCAACTCATACTCCGATCAACAATTTATAACTATAATAACATGATGATATCCAAAACCTCTATCTCAATTAGCAATTTTTTATAAAAGAAGACATGAAATAAATAAATGAATGGAGAACAGAATCACTTACCACTGCACAAGTCAAGTCCCAACAAACAATACTTCACCGGATGCTTCTGGTAACAATAATAAATGCACAAAACTGCCATTACAACAAAAAATTAACAAATAAAACCAATCAAATCCAAAAATCGGAAACCCACTTCGAATATTTGAAACAATCTGCAAAAGAAATAATATTCATATAGAGCAATAATTAGAAAAATATTTGAGGGTATAAATATGAAAATGTGCACCAAATTGTACCCAGATGAAAGAGTGCCGACCCAAACCGTAAAAGGATGAAGAACGGTGGTGTAGTCATTGTTTGATTTTCTTGATGGTTTTCTTTCACCTCCATCAAATCAAGTCAGAAGAAAAGCAGATGAATGGTCGTTGGAGGGAAAAAATGGAAACGGTATGGTATTAGGTATGCTATCAGCTGAAAACAATAAAAAAGAAAAGGGTACAAAAATTGACGCCATTTCTTCTCTTGCCAGTATCTTCAAATCTGTTTACTGTTCATTTAACAGTAGTGTAGTATCGATATTCATTATTTCTTCTACGGTGCTACAAATCGATTAATGTCATGAAGAGTGTTGTTGATCAATAACATTGCCTCACTGCATGCAGTGTTGTACAAAGCTTCGTGCTACGCACAGAGCGGTCGCATGATTTTATAATGGATTTTTGGAGGAGAACGCTACCATGCGATTTTTTGATGGTTTTGGTATTTTCTTCCTCCCCGGATCTGCTTGGCGGGGGTGATTTTGTTGGTGGCTCTTCGTGACTTCCAAATTGTGGTGGTTTTTTACGGTTGCAAATGGTGGTGAGTTGGCATGACGTTCAATTGGTGGTGGTGCAACGGTAATATAGGTGGCGGGGTGGCAATGAAGTCGGGGTGGAGATCAAGGAGATGGTGGTTGTAATTGTTGGTACTAACTGGCGGAGCAGGTGCTGGAAGTGATGATGATGGTTAGATGGCGATGGTGATGATGGTGGTGGTTCAATGGTGCCGTTGGGTTTGTATGAAGGACCAATAAATTTTACAATTTGTGAACTTAAATAAGTTATGACTCATAAAATTTGTAATTTGTGAATTAAAATAATACGTGACGTTTTAATTTGATAATTTGTGACCTATAAATTGTCATTGTGATTTATAAAATTTGTGACTTATGTTTTAGAAATAATATATGATCTATCAATTTGATAATTTGTGATCCAAAAATAAATTGCTGCATATAAAATTTTCGATTTGTCACAAAAAAATAATGCTCAACCAATTAATTTGATAATTTTTTATTAATAAATAAGTTGTGACCTACAGGTGTATCTGTGATTAGAAGTTGTATAATGGTGACCTTAATATATTTAATTAATAAAATATTTTTAATTATTTATTAAATCAATAAATTTTAAGTACAACTTGATTTTTGAATGTTTGAAACTAATTTCTTAAAAGTGAACTTGTACATAGCAACCTCCTTATTTATGTGTTGTTCGCATGATTTAATTCTGCATATTCATATTAGTTAGTTTTTTTCTTTTTTTAATGACGAGAGAACCTGCAGTAACTACCCTTCGGGTGCGCACTGGGTAAATCCTCATGCTGATGCAATAGCTTGCAAATCACATCAGTCAGGTAAATTGCACTAGACAAGTCATGTGTGACAAGCTCGACCGAGAAAGTGTTGGTTGGAAAAATCATATTAGTTTTTATAGGGCCAAAATGCAACTATGTGAAACTATTCAATGCTCCAATTTATTGATTTCTTTTATTAGACTTATTTACATATTTGGCACAAGTTCTCATGTAAAGGCTGGGTGTATTTTGATTGAAAATAATAAATTAAAAGAATTTACTCCAATTTTTTTTAATGCTTCAATATTTGTACGCGAGACAACAAATCAACAAATCGTTATCGCTTGATATAGGTCGCTTTATGTGTGCTTCAATATTCGAGAACACCTCCTTTCGAGTATGTTCCCACATCATCTCATTATTGGGTTCAAGCTACCCTTTTCTCAACTATATACAGTTTGCACAAACTAATCTAAACTTGATGATCTGCTACACCTTTTTCTCAAATATTCTTCAACAGAAAGAGGGCTGCTTTGCTCCATACTGCTGAATGATGTAGAATTGTCATTTACATCAAGAAATGCAAGGCTTAAATGGGATTCTGCACTTGAATCTGGATAAACTTCATCATCATTATCATCCAGGTTCTCGAGATCATTGTGATTTCCGTATTGGGATTTTAGTTCTTCATTCACACATTTTTCCCCAGTTAAGATGCCCAGAATCTGAAATATAGACAGGAAAAATGCAACAACCGTAATGTTAATAGTCAAGAAATAAGCCCTAATCTCAAATCGGAAAGCAATAATGAACGAAATAAGAAATAGAAATGTACACAAAGAATCACAGAGATATCGAGTGGTTCACCCTCAACGTAAGAGCTACATTCCCTTATGTTCCTATTCGTAAGGTAGGAAACTAGGCTGCCTAATACGAACATAAGACAGTACAAAAGTTCTGATCTGGAAGAAAGAATTTCATACCTGGGACATTTTTGGACGTAGACGGGCTGCTTGTTTTAGGCAAAGAGTTGCTGCTAGAGCCATTCTTTGCATTTGATCCTCATCAATATCACCTTCCAAATTTGGATCCAATATGCTTTTGAGATCTCCACTTTCTAGTCTAGGTTTTGCCTGAAGATAGAAGTTATTCTATGTGTTCCTTACAGGACTAAAGAAAAATTAGATAGCTTTATGTTGCAAATAGATTCTTACCCACATGACTAAGCTTTCTTGACCTTTCGGAGTCTCCAAAACAATTGGTTTTCTTCCTGATAGCAATTCTAGTAGAACTACACCAAAAGCATATACATCAATCTTGTCACTGACTTTCCCATACATAAAATACTCGGGAGCAAGATAGCCAAAGGTCCCTACTACGTCTCTGTCAGTTAGGAAAGAGGCTGATTTAGGGCCCCATATTGCCAATCCAAAGTCGCATAACTGTTCAAGAATGTAAGCATTAATCCAAAAGGTCGAAACGTTGATTTGTGACAACTATGGCTATGAATCAAAGAACTACCTGTGGTTCTAATTCATCCGTGAGAAGAATGTTCGAAGACTTGAAGTCTCTATGGATTACAGGCCTTGGACATTCATTGTGTAGGTAATTTAGTGCTTCAGCTATCCCAACAGCTATTTTGAATCTTACTTCCCATTGCAAAACAGCCTTTTCCTTTCTGTTACCTGCTTTGGCAATCATATTAGGAAGTGTATGTTTAGAGAGTTATTAAGAGAAAAAGATGCATTCTCCTTAAACTTACCGTGCAAGTTCTCTTCTAAATTTCCTTTAGAAAAGAAGTCATAAACAGAGATTAAATTAGTACACTCTACACAAATCCCAAGAAGTGGCACGATTCTTTGGTGCTTCAATGTGGTCATTATATCAACTTCCAGCATAAAATCCTTCCATGCTTCCTTTGATGACCTTAAAATCTTTATTGCCACTTGTTTTCCATCAGGAAGAAGCCCCTTGTATACAGAGTTACACCCTCCTTGTCCAATAAGATTGGCTGCAACAATTAAACGAACAGAAGTTTAAAGTTTCAGAAAGGGAATTGAAAATTCAAAAAGAGAAAAAAGACAAAGATTTGCTCAACACAATCTAACCTGCAGAGAAATGAGAAGCTGACATTCTGAGCACATCATAGCAGAACCATTTGCAGCTATGTGGATTCGTTTTGAGTATCAGCTCCAACTCTTGGGGCAGCCCTTTGAGACTATATATTTTCTCTACTTTACCAGTGGCTGTAAAATTTTGGTTCTCTATTCCAAAAACATCCCCCATTTTCTCTTGCGTGGACTTGGATTCAGAAATTTCTAGCAAAGATCGGCTAGGTAAGTTCATTACCCATTTTACCACCGACATATTTCTTGCTTCAATACTTGGTTGAGTTATTGAACTAGCTGTTTGGAGTAGGGGCCAACCTGGCCTCTGTCGGGTAAAATCTTCCGCTGGAAGAGAGATTGAACTAAGAGAACCTTTTTTGTGTCTTCCAACGGTGCTAAAAACTTCATCCTTGGAGGTCAGAATCCCATCATAACTGAGCCTTCCCATCTCTGATATCTCAGACTCACCAAATTCAGACAAAGTATCTTTGAAAGTGGAGTTTCCAGTTAAATAAAATCTCGGCTTCGGATCTTTTCTAGGACCTGGCATCATCAAAAAATATTCAGCATATATTGAATGATCAACGAAATATTTTCTCGCTTACTGTAGAACAGGATCCGCACCTTCAGGTTGGCTTGTGGAATTTCTACTGAAAACAACCTTTCCATTGTGAACTGCCATGACTTCAGTTGTAGAAGGAAGTCGCCTTGCACAATATTTAGCAATTGAAGACCAACCCCTGAGAAAAGCTTCTTTCAAGACTCCAATAGAAATATTAAAGGAAAACAAACTAATGCAAATGACCAAATACCATTATCATTTTCTTCTTACCCCAGAGCACTAAACTTAGTTATTCCCACTATAACAGCTGATGCAGAATGGTTCTTTGCTTCTATCACCAGAGCTTTTCTGATAGAATTTCCTTTCAACACCTCAGCACTGAGAGCAACCTGAACACCCCCACCCCCAGAGCCCCACCAAAAAATTGACTAATGAAATAAGAAGTTGATAATGGTGTCACTTTATACTTAGAAAGAGACCAAACACTAAAAAGGAAAAACTGAGAGAAACCTACCTGCTTTTGGTTACACAACGCTTTATAGTCTTCCAAATAATCATCCAACAAAGCTTTCTCTCTCGAAATGGAATCTGTAATGACAAAAATTGTGTAAGAATTCAATAGCTAGAGGTAATTTAGAATTAGAAGCAATTTACAAATGCCAGTGCCGGTACCAGAATTCCTACAAACATGAATGGCAATCACGCAATCTGCTGGATCAGCTACTTTCACAACTGCCCAATCCATTAACTCTTTAGTATGGCCATCAAACTTTATTCCCACCACCACAATTTTCCCAAGCCTCTCCATTGTCATTTTCCCTTTGTTCGATGGACAATTATTTGATAATTTCACCTTCTCAATACACCACAAGGGTTCTTCTTACTTGCGTTTGCAGGAATCTTGCGCATGCTTATTCAATTCTCGATATTACTACATAATCTGTACCAAAAACATACAATAGTTACTTCCACTTTAAATGCAACATACTCCAGCCGACAATAAATTGTATGAATTTTATTATTCGAAAACAATCAGAAAATCCAAATCTCCAGTTCTAAAGCATTCTTCACCATAGAAAATTCGTTCCGGCCAATGAATATTAAACTGGAGTAAAATAAACAGATATGATATCTATGGATACACGTTGAATTTTCCAAAAAATAAAGAGGATCATTCGACAACAAAAGCCTACCTAAAATTTTTGAATATTCAAATCATTGAAAGTCATCAAAAACATATAAAATTTTGAAAACGCATCGCAGACCTACTTTCAACTAACAAATAATTTAATATTTTACACGTTGGTCGTAAGGTGGCAAATGAGGATAAATCTTATTTGAATTGTTTAATTTATTTTACCGAAAATCAAAAGAAAAATAATCTTTGAATTTGATACGAAGAAAAGGAGAGAAGGCGCCATCAGAAAAGGTTCCAAGGGGAATCGTCGGTGAGCGTGACGAGTGTGTGAGAGAGAGATAGAGAGGTCCCGCTAAAAATAGAGAGAGAAAAAAAATCATTTTTTGTATTTTAGTTTTAGGAAAGTTAATAATTTGCGGGAAACCCATGAGTTCACCACCGACAATACAGCCCTCGGTTTGCCCCCTTTAATTTTTATCAATTTAAATTAAAATATTTTCTCTCTTATTTTCAATAAAATAATATTATACATAAATCGAAAATTTTTCATTCTTTTACAATCATTCATTTTTCAAAAAAACATTATTCCTCCCATTATAATTCAAATTAACGGGGGCCAAACGGATGCTCAAAACCCTCGATCAACTATTGCTGGTTAACAATGCTCTGTAATCCGATTTTCATATGCTCGATCTGCTCGGTTTAAATTAAATCCAATGTATAAAAAGAGGACAGAAGTGTGCTAACTTTTTTGCACTTCTCGTGTAGTCAACTTCGGTTGCATGTACGGGCTGCTTATTTACCTATCGTTTGTGTAGGAAAATAATGACCTTGTTATAGGTACACGGACGTGTAAGCTATAAGTACATGGACATTTACACTTCCCTCACAAAAAGGGGGACGTGCCAATCTTGTGAGGGGCCGGTGTCCAAATAACAAATTTTGCAAAATAAACATGTTTTGATTCTGCGAGTAACGTGAATCATGTCATACAAAACTTATTATACCTCAATAATTACAAAATCACAAGTCAAAACATTAATTTAGAGATCGTAGACGCGCCTACCTTACGCCAAACCTCATGAAAATGAATTGGGATAGGTCCTACTTTTCAAGTCAATTAAGTGCATCATTATTGCAAAGAAGTAATTTTGAGGAAGTTTTGACCAACAGAGTCGTATTCGATTTATTGGGCCAATACTAAAATATTACCAGTCAAAACATTAACCCTCCCTATTAGTTGTTTGAATTTACGGACCAACAATTCTTGCTTTATCAAATTTGATTTTTCATATTTTATCCATTAGACTGGGATTTTGAAGGATAAGAACAGCCAACACATTTCGTGTTAGGCTTGATAACGAGGAATTTACTGTTAATATGACTGCCCAATAAATAACCATAAAACGTATGCGCAGTACAAAATGTGAAATTTATACACTCTCCACCATTCGGTAGACACTGAACTAACGATGACAACGAGCAGCGCCGACTCATGAGCCCAAGATCGAGGCTAGTAAAAGAAAAAAGGCTCAAACTTTTTGGACTAGAGCCGAGCCCGACTTGGCTCATCCCCCCAAAAAAAGGGTTTGGTTCAGGCCTTTCTCGAGTTGAGCAAAGTCATCTCACGAGCTTTTTATTTTTTTGCTTATACAAAGAATTGATCGTTAATTTACAAATTACAAAATTAATTAAGCAAGTTGTTGAATTTTGCAAATTAAATAGTCGTCAACTTACAAACTACAAAATTAATTATGCAACTTGTGAACTTTTACAAAGTGGTCATTAATTTACAAACTAAAAAAATTAACTATGCAAGTGGTTTAAAAGCCTAAAAAGACAGGCCACACAAACCCACATATGGGCCAACCCGTATTTGGGCTTGTGTGGCTCACTGGCTGGTTGGGCTAAGCCCAAATCTCATATTTGAGCCTTGGCTCGTCGTTTGCCACGACTACACTAGAGAAGACGACTTGAAATCATGTTGATTATAAAGCCCAATCCAAATCAATCCAGACCAACTGCATATCAAACATGCACCCTAGATTTTAGAGTTCAAAATGAAGAATCTTCATATCACCAAACACAAAACTAAAGCTGACAGTGAGAAAATCAACAAACTGATTCTTTAAGAGAACTCTCTGATACAGTCAGTCGAGACTATAACTCACAGGCTATTGTTCCTACAGGGGGGGAGTTAAATCATAGACATCAGATTAACACTGAAAAAAGGCGGAAGCTCATCGCTCCTCTCCTTAGCCCTTCTTTTAACAGTCACAGTATACTGCAGGCCTTTTGACCTCTACTCTTCTTTTTCTTCTTGTGCTTTGTTGGCTGAAGAACGGCCTTAATTGCTGCATCGAAGACAGCCTTCACATTCTGCAATATTTAGGGGAAGGTTACCAAGAAGTATTGTTAATAAAAGATATTTAAAAAAGCTTTAGTATTAAGACAAAAAGGTAACGTGCCAAAAAAAGAAGAATTAACCTGCTGCGTCTTTGCACTGCATTCAATATATGCAGCCGCTCCAATCATCTTCCTCAACTCCTCTCCCTCCAATAGAAAGTTGGAAAAAATTCAATAGAAAGTGGAGTTTTCTCTTGGAAGGATAGAAACGAAATGAAAATCGGATGGTCCCTATGACAATTTATTCAACGTGAAATGCAACAATATACCTGAGCAGTCGTAATGGGTACTGCTCCTGGATGGTCTGCAAAGAACTGTTTATCCTCACGGAGATCTACAAGAAAACAAAATGAAGTTACTTGGACTGAACACCTCAAAAAAAGACAAATGTAGATGGGGTAGAGGGAGAGTGGAGAAAAAGATTTAACTTGTGAAACTACAGATCTAAAACACAGGAAAATAAAGAAGCAAAGATACTTTCATTTGACGCATAACTGCAGAAGACGAAAACCAATAAGCAAAGATACTTTCATACGATGCATGCCTGTAGAAAACACTCAACTTGAGACTAGACCCCAGTCCAATTGTGTATATTAAGACGGGAGAGCTAATTCCGAGGCATAATAATGAATATGATAAAACAATACTTTCTCTGAGAATGAGCTTATTAACAATTTTATGGTCAAACTTTGTGTGAACAATTAACACATTGGCATACTACTGAACAAAAATATTCAAGTAAAAACCCACATGTTACCGATAATCTTTGTAGCACGGACACTTCAATTAGGGTAGCATGTCCGTGTCAGACACGTGTCCATACGGACACTTCTTCAAAACTCTACCATAATCTTTTTCCTTTCTTTACTAGAAATATTATATATTTTTAACTCAAAATTAATAGTAAATAATTTTTTTTTTTTTTTTTTTTTTTTTTTTTTTTTTTTTATGGCGGGGGAACCCACAGCCGCTATCCTTCGGGTGCGCACTGGCTAAACCCTCGGGCTGACGCAATAGCTTGCAAAACACGTCAATCAGGTAAACCGCACTAGGCAAGCCCTGTACGACTAGCTCGACCGAGAAAGTGTCGGTAGGAAAAATCGAACTCGAGACCAAAAGTCTCGGCGCTCACTTACTCCACCAACTCGGCCATCCCATGAGGGTCAATAGTAAATAACAAATAGGTACTCATATTTAAAAAATTTCACCAAGAAAAATTAATAAAAAGTATAAAATGAAATTTATACTATATAAATAAAAAAATTTAAAGAATTTCATCAATGTGTTGTGCCGGTACTATTTTGAAAAATCACATCTCGCCATATATCGGTGCATAAAATTACATTTTGAAGTTAGCACACTTTGTAGCACGAACACTTCAATTAGGGTAGCGTATCCGTGTCCGACACGTGTCAATGTCGACACTCTTCAGACACTTTACTATAAGCATTTTTCATTGTTTATCAAAAATATTATATATTTTTAACTCAAATTTATTAGTAAATAACAAATAGGTACTCATATTTTAAAGATTTTCACAAAAAAATTAAAGTGTAAAACTAAATTTCTACTATATAAATGAAGATTTTTAAAGATTTTAATCAGCGTGTCGGCGACATGTCGTGTCGGTACTTTTTTGACAATTCACGTGTCGACGTATCTGACACGTATCGTGTCGGACACACGTGTCCGTGTCCGTGTCGGTGCATAATAGTTAGCACATTTTTATCTAGTACAGTCATGCACATATTTTGCCTACTTGCAAAACAACTCAGAATATCACATTAATGCAATATCAGTGTCAAATGGATAAGCTTGTTAAACATAGATTTTCACATATTGACAATTTCACAACGGTTGACGCCAGTTATGCAGCATTTCTTAAATAATTCTTTCAAAGGACAAATATCCATGTAGGAGATGAGATGAATGTCTCTTAAGACTTTATGATAGGTGTCAAATAAGCATTCCAGTTTTTGTTTTTATTTTTTCAGACACTATGCAATATCATTTCGTCAGATAAAATGACAGAAGAAATCAGTATTACTACAATCCAGTAGAAAGGGATGGAAGGAGATTCTGACCAAGCTTTGTCCCAACAAGAATGATTGGAACACCAGGGGCATAATGTCTCAATTCAGGAATCCACTGCACATCAAAAGAAAAGCATACAAAAACCATTAGTACCATGCCTTCTGTTTTCTTTCTTTTTTTCCATATTTTTATTTATTTATCTATTTACTAATTTTTAGAGGGAAGGCAAGCTAAGAAGCATGGATACGGATACGTAATTCGAATACGATACAACATGGATACGCCAATACAACTTTTTAAAAAAGACTTATTCCAGCGACATAAGTTTTCTCCTCGAACCTCCTTACCGCTTTTTTATGTGTTCCTGTATTCCCTCCTCCTGAGAAAGGAAGATGCCTCTTGAAGGTGTCAATACTATGCATTTGAAGCATCATAATATTTATACATTAACGACACAATAGGTACTAAACGCAAGAATCTGTGGTAAACTAAACTATGCGACAATAAAGCACTCTAAATTATGACCCCGTTAGATTTTTCTAGTAAATTTATTAATTGACATAACTATTAGGTGAATTCAAATACTAAGCATTTAGTGCAACTTCTAATTCTCATCCTCAATATTATGGTCAAGAATTTTAACGTTTCACATCGTGTGCTTTAAGCAATGACAATTTTCCAAAGAAGAAGTCTATTTTAAGAAAGGTAACATTATCCCCGGAAGCCATAGAAGGATGCGAGTCCATCTAATCCTAGACAAAAGCATTATCAACCTCTCATAAATAGAATTGATACTTCAATCTCTATTACAGAAAATTAGTACAAGAAAAACCTTAAAACTAAAGATCAGAAGTAGATAGCTACTTAAGCTATCAAATATATATACACATAGTTGTAAATATCAATAACCTTACGTCTTCCCAACTGATAGTCTTGCTTGGCTCACAAGACTTGACAAAAATTTATATCAAATCGTTCAAGCTCATCCTACATACAAATGATAGAGTTTGGCGGAATCATTTGCTTGCTCCATATTGGAAATACATTCAAATGCACTTTCATTAGCGGGAAGCAGCAATTATGCATAAGACAAGAAAGGAATAGAATAAATTTAGATCAAGAAGGTGACGTTGCAAATCAATTTGCATTAAATATTTTTTACATTAGGCTGAAGAAGATCAATTTTTTCTCAATCATTTTTCTTAAGACAATTGTGATGAGGACATCCCAGTCCATATTAATTATTTTAGCAGATTTAATTATTTTAGTTGGATTTAGGTTGTTTTTAATTTTATGGACTTGTGTATTGGGCTTAGCCCTAGGTTTGCAGTATTTTCTAGTATTTAAACCTATCTTACATTGTTATTTTTCAGTTGATGAATTTGATTAAATAAAAGAGTTGGCTTGCAGCCGTTTTTCCCCTCTTCCCCGCCTCTGTATTCTTCTTCTCTTCCCTCCCCCATCTCTTCTTGTTATTTACTGAGTTATTAATCTCCCTACATCAAATTGGTATCAGAGCAAAACCTGATTTTTCAATCTCATTAACAGAAAATTGGAGTCAAAATTGCCATGGACGTGATGCAAGATGTGCTGTTCAACACCATAACTCCCTGTCCAGAAGAATCCGTTGCTGCCAACTGCTGAAACAATAATATACAGACTCCGTTGCTGCCCAACTGCTGAAAACAGTAATACAGTATCCATCGCCTCCAAACCAACTTTACAGACAGCAACTAGATAATCAACCTGTTTATTCTCAACACCCGAAAAGTTTCATTCCAGAAAAATTCATTAACCTTGCGACGCGACACCCACACCTGCAGTCGACCAACACATTACCTTCATCCAAAACCAGAAACGGAATCATCTCCCTCACCGGCGCTCCACTTCGTTGAGGCGTCCCTCGTCGGCCAGTTCCAGTCGCCGACCTCGCCAGCGTTCAGTGTGTTGGTATGAATTATGGGTTTGGGGGCTGGGTTATTAATTAAGTGGGTTGGGTTATTAGTTATCAATTGGGTTTGGGTTAATTGGTTATTAATTAATTGGTCTAATAATTAAGTGGGTTGGGTTATTTGTATTGCTTGGGCTTGGGCTTGTTTAAGGTTTTGAGTGTGATTTAGGCCCAAATTTGTGAAATGGGCTCATTTATTATTTTGTTATTCTGATTTTGTATTATTATTAAAAAAAAAAAAGAGAAAAAAAAAGAAAAAAAAAAGGAGTAAAAAAAAAAGAGAAAAAAAAAAAAGAGAAAAAAAAATTTAATTTAAATTTTGAGAATTTCCTGATATTCTTTTATAGGTACATTATTTCCTTGACGAGCACGGAATTTTCTATTTTGACATCTCAGCGCTTACCAGTTCAGGACGTGGAGACATTCAACGCTAGGACGACTCAGGCCAACCGAACTCAGGGAGTCTCTGATCCTATTCATTTTAGTGACACTGTTACTGTATTTTAGAATTGCATCAATAATTCTTTGTGTCGCTAATATTTTGATAATTTAGCCTTAAATCTATTGGATTGAAATTCACGAGCCGACCCCATTGTTCACTTGTTTACCCCACGTGACTAGACCTAGCATTTGTACCTTTGTTTTTTTTTATTGGCATTAGTAGTATTAGCTTGCGATCGGGCTATATGTAATCCCCACGATAAAATAAAATAATAACAATAACAATGGATAAATTTTAATCGCTATTTTCCCTGCTAGTACTCGTTGGTTGTTGATCTCAGTAGACGCTTCACCTAGCTTGTGTGTTACCGTGTATGCAATTGCGTAGTGGTCGCGTTACTGTCCCTAGCTCTAGTACTGTTGCCATGGACCCTTCCCACATTGAAGCTATCACCCGACGGTTGGCACAATTACAAAATCAATTAACGGTTGTCCAAACTGAGTTAGCCACTATACGAGAATAGAGCCCTAACCGCTAGGATAAACACTCTTGACCCGATCCAATACTCAACTGAGGCTGAAAATTCTGACGCTTCCATTAATAGACCTCATCGTCGTCCACAAGGTGGTCGACACCATGCTAGACATGATCGTAGGGAAGGAAATCAAGCTCGTGGGCGCGAGCGGGAATATCACCGTCATGGTACACTGTCCCCCCTCGCCACGAGGAGCGCCTCTTTCGAAATATTAAGTTGGATGCCCCTACATTGATGGTTGTCTAGATCCTAGTGTATTCAATCAATGGGTTAGGGATATGGATCGCTTCTTCGCCTGGTATGGGGCCCCTGAAAATCGAAGGGTACAATTTGCCAATTTGAAATTGACTGGCACCGCTCAACTGTTTTGGGAAAGCGTTGAGGACCTCCTAGAGAGGCGCCATGCTCCCCCTGTTGGGAGTTGGAATGAAATGAAGCGTCGCCTTGAAGAAAAATATTTACCTCAATCTTACAGGGGCAACTTACTGGATCAATGGAACGCACTGACACAAGGCAGTCGACCTGTGACCGAATATGTTGCTCAGTTTGACGAGTTT